TCTGTAAACCGCTTAGAGAGGCCTGAAAGGCCTATGAAGCGGTATATAAGTCTACTGCTATTGACCTCAAACTGACAACCAAATGTAGGTTAATCCGCTCTATTGTGTTTCCTGTAGCTACTTATGGTTGTGAAAGTTGGACCTTAAAAAGCAAGACAGGAAGAAAATCAACTTGTTTAAGCTGTGGCACTGGAAAAGGCTCCTGCATATTCACTAGACATGTCACTAGAACGCAAAACCATGAAACTGTGTCTCATTTACTTTGGCCATGTTATTCAGGGGACTGGAGAAAGCAATTATGTTTGGATGAGTTAGAAGTAAAAGGAAACCAGACCGTCAAAGAACACAGTGGCTGGACACCATCAAAGCTGACATCAGACAGAGTATAGAAAAATTCAAAGAAGTACTGTAGTGCAAATCTGGAAGATATGGAGAGAACCTGGCTCAACTGGGATACAAACGCTGCAGTGAGTGGGAGATCAAACAGGTTCCTGATGTGCTTAGCTGACAACTGTACAGTGCTATGCACATTTCCTCAGGACTCTCTTGTGACCAATCTAAAGATACTGTAAGTGCTCCACCATTGCTGCCTGTACAGCAATGACTGTATCACTGTACAGTGAAAGTAGGGAAAAACATATTATAGTGAGAAGAGATAGTTAAAAATTGTGCATGGTGCGTGCCAAGGTAAGTACTTGACCTCAGAAGAAAATTGAAAAGAAAACTTGGTGTGTGTGTGTGTGTGTGTGTTAACGGTACATTTGTCAAAATAATGCAGGGGAGTCAAGAGAGCAATTGGTGATACAGTATGTCTCCTGCTCACATCACAGGTATTAGCCAGCAGAGGTGAGTTACAGTAATGAAGTAACTAACCCACCACCAAAAGATCTGCAACAGAAACACTATGTGTGTTTGTGTGTGGTGTGTGTGTGTGTGCAGAATCTCTTTTCCAAAGATAATAGTTATTGGTGCATTGGATGATGATTCCACTATAATGAATATGCTATCCCAAAGAATATCATACAGTTATTCCTGGAAATGACCCGTCTGAAAACAGAGTATTGGCAGAAAGCAAGAAATTGGTTCAACATCAGCTGACCTTTAAGGGTGACCTCCAAGTGACTAAACTATGTTTAGCCTAAATAAGTATATTTTCTAACCTTCAATCAGTTGTTATAGGAATTACTGCCAGGGCAAAGTGCATATAATATGCCTTTTCCTAGCTCAATCAACAGTCAGGGAACTTCCTGAGTAAAAAGTAGGCAACTCCCTCTGTGGCAAAGATTTTGCTGAGATAAAACTATCCAATGTCTACATTTCTGAAGAAGCTCACTGAAAAGTATTTCTGCTTGCTTGTTTTCAATGAACAGGGGAGGAGAAATGCTGCGAAACTAGGACCCAATTCTTAGGAATGTTTCAACACAACCCAAGAGCCACCCCACCAGTGGTGGGTTGTAGGCGGTTTGCCCCGGTACGGGTGTACTGGTGCCTGCCAGGAGCACCAGGTACTGTTCTGGTACAGTCCTCCGGAGGGCCCACCCTTCTGCCCAAGCTCCTTACCTGTATTTGAGCTCTTCGGCGCTTCTGCGCAAGTGCATGGAGTGTACGGCACCTGCGCACCACTCCGCCAAGCAGCTGGAGCATCATGGAGGTGGGGGATGCTGGGCCCCGTTGCACCGGGATCCAGAACCCACCTCTACACCCCACCCCCACCCCAATCCCCCACATGATTTATGCCATGGGGGTAATTTGTCAGTCTCAACAAAAATATAATTGCGGCTGGATTGGAAATGACAATTTCGCTAAATATAGGTCCTGGCCCACAGTAACTGTTGGAATAATCTGAGCTTTATTGAATGGCAGGTATAAAAAGAGTGCATATATGAATCTATTCTTCCCAGTTTTTCAGCCTCATGAGGCAGGTGTAAGGGGAGAGAAGAGAAATAGAAGACTTTGTTGGTGCATTTAGAATTCAGAGCATCCTTTTTCCTCTGTACTTAGCAGACCAATCCTTGGACCTGCTCCCCAATTGCAACCCCCAAATTCAATGAAAGCTTCCCCCACAATCTGCTGAATTTGTGATTCATAGGAGAAAAGCATCTGACATGTCAAAACCCAACAACACTAAATGCAGAAGCTTGGCGGTAAGCAAGTATCTTGCAACAAGGCAAATTGAAAGAGCTGGAAGTGGGTTGTATTACATACCAAAAAAGCTCCAGGGGTCTCAGGTGAACCTGACATGGACAGGCTGCATTGCATTGGAGGCCCAAAGAGAAGCAATGCTCCCAGAGTGAATGCCTCTTACACAGAATGCTGCATACAGGCATGTACACTGGAAACATAGGTTAAATGCAGGCACAAACATACTCTTTGGCCTGGGAGTACCTAAGAAAAGAATCAGACAGGCTTTGAATAAGGATTACTCTCCTCTCCAGCTCAGGCCCCTCTTGTCCCAGACACCAAAAGGCTTCTAGACAAAAATGGTAGTGTGTTTTATTCTGGGAGGAGAGAGAAGTGTTCCCAGCATAAATGAAATGATAGCTTGCCAGAAGGAGATGCTGTGCAAAAGCAGAAGGCCTGAGGCAAGCTTCTCAGCAGAGCAGGTAGAAAACCAAGCATACATTCCACTGCCTTTTCTACACAGGCAAGGGGAGAAACAGCATCCACTGTCTCTCAGATACCTCACCCTCTCAGCCTGAGGCCTCCGCACAGTGTAAAACATAGAACCAGGTAAGGAAAGTCATCCCTACAGCAGCTGCACACTCCCTCAGGGCAGTGCTTCCAATATTTCACAGTGTCCTCGTGGTCTCTCCAGGGAAGAGGCAGGGTCAAGACTGAGCATGGGAGATCCACTGGCTGTCTATAGGGCGCCTCAGCAATTCCTCCACATTCTGAATTCCAGAAAACTATTTCTAAAAGGATTGTTAACTGTTCTTAGCTCTCTCAAAACTTACAGTTCTTGAGGGTATTTGGAAGAAGCTCAAACACTTAATTTGATTTTAGAAAACTATGCAGTGCGGGTCCTCTCAAGTTCATTTATTTCCCTTTTTCTCTAAATTGGAGAGAAATATATCTTTTCCTAATCTGTATACAGGTGAAACTCAAAAAATTAGAATATCGTGCAAAANCATCATCATCATCATCATCATCATCATCATCATCATCATCATCATCATCATCATCATCATTTTGGTGGGACAGCTTTGTCAAGGCATGGTACATACAAATAGTCCTTGATTTACAACCATTCATTTAGTGACTGTTACAACGGCACTGAAAAAAGTGAATTATCATTTAATATACCCCCATAGTCATATGATCAAAATTCGGATGCTTGGCAACTGGCATGTATTTATGATGGTTGCAGTGTCCCAGGGTGATCCCTTCTGCGGCCATCGGACAAGCAAAATTAATGAGGAAGCCAAATTCACTTAATAATCGTGGTATTAACTTGATAACTGCTTGAAAGGTTGCGACATTGTATAATGGAGCAAAACAATTGTCTTGCTTAGCCATGGAAATTTTGGGCTCAATTGTGGTCATAAGTCGAGGACTACCTGTATTTATTTATTTATTCCCACACTAGTCATTCCACAACATACAAAGATGCCATCTTAGACTCTTTTTGTTTTGAATCAGACTTGATTGTTCATAATCTATATTTAATTGTCAAATGCATGTGGGAACTAAATAGACTGCAATTACACAATCCCTCCCCCCTTCCCAAAGTTATACTAAAGTTTATATTTTACTTTCAAAACACTTCATCCCCACCAATGCTCAGTCCTAAGTTTACAAGTGAGGACTTCTTGGAATGTATTTTTCATTGGCGGAGCCGATGTTAGTGACATCAGCCAAAGCACTTTTGATTGGCTAGCTGGTTGCTGGGACTATAAGGGCTTTCGGTGAGGCAGTTAACCCGATTTCTGCCGGGAAACCATACTTGGAGTCCTGGCTAGCGGAACGCCGGGCAATTAGTCCCGGAGGGGAAAGATGCCAGCGGAAATTGGGGCTGGTGGGTCCCTGAAAGCCGGACGGCCGAGGCCCCGCCTGACGAGGCACTTGGAGGCGACGAGCGCCTTCCTCCCCGCTTTCCAGCCTCTGTGTCGCTGGGATAAACTCTCCCGCCTTTCCCTCCGTTGCCCTTTTAAGAGGGGGGCTACAAGGCGTCGAGAGTAGCACGAGGCATCGGGAGGAAACCTCCGGATTGGCCGAGGTCCCGGTCTGTAGACACACCCCTCATGCAAAAAGGAACCTTCTGAGTGGAAGGAGGAGAAGGTAAACAGAGTTGAATCACTCTCCCGGCTGACCAATTGGGGGTGGAGGGGCGGAGGGGGGGACTCGCTGGAAGAACCTTTGCGTGATGGGCTTCTGCGAAATCGGTCCTGAGCAGGGCTGTGCTGGAACATTGAGGAGCCGTAGGCGAGGGGGGAGTGAGTCAGGCAGTGGGCAGATCCAGGCTCAGTCGCTGCTGCTGCTGCTGCGTAGTCCTCACGCTTGGGCTGCTGTTTCAGCACCGCGCCTTCTGAGGAGTGTGTGAATGCGCTGGAAAGCCTCGCGAAGCGGGGGCGGAGAAGCAAACGCAGCGGCGGCGGCGGCGGCGGCGGCTCGGGTGCTACGATCGCTGAGCTCTCCCCGAGCTCCTTTCGATTTTCTTCTGCTTTCCGTCCCCTTGCGGGGTGAGGAAGAGGAGGAGGAGGAAGAGGCAGAAGAGGAGGAGGAGGAAGAAGAGGAGAAGAAGAACAGGGAAAACTCCCTGCTGGTGCTACTTGGATTACTTGAAACCACCACTCGTGACCCTGTTTTCCGAAGAAGGGAGCCTTATCAGTGTCTAGCCACAGAAGCGGGTCCGGGAGGGCACGACCCACGCGCGACGCCTTACCGATCTGGAGTTGTCCGGCGTCGGTGGAGAGGGGGCGCGGGAAGCGACGGCGACGGGAAGGTAGGCTAGTTTGGCGGTTCTCCTGGTTGGGAATCCCGAATGATCGTGGTTATGTAAACGCCGAGCCCCGCCAGTCCCTCCTGGCTGCGACGGCACCCCACCCACCCCACCTCCACCCGCGATCCGCAACCTGAAGGAAAGCGACCCAGCCGTTCGGCGCTCGTCACACCGCCACCTTACCTACCTATCCGGCCCTCGGAGGGCAAGAGGGCGGCGGCGGCGGCAGTCACAGGCAGGCAGCGCGGAGGAAGTTTTGCCCCCGGGGCCCTCGCCCTGCCCCTCCCCCTCTGAAATCATTACCTCGGGGGGCCCGACGGTCGCCTGCAAAATGTCAGCGGTGGCTTACATGGACTTCGTGGCTGCCCAGTGCTTGGTCTCCATTTCCAACCGCTCCGTGGCACCGCCGGACGTGACCCGCGAAGCCGAGGTCCTGAAGATGCCCGAGGAGGAAGCCGCCGCCGCCGCTGCCGTCGTGACCAAGGAAATGAACGACCCCCGGGACGCCTGGAAGGATTATTGCACGCTGGTGACCATCGCCAAGAGCTTGCTGGACTTGAACAAATACAGACCCCTCCCCGCCCCTTCCATCTGCAGCGACAGCGTGGAGAGCCCCGACGAGGACATCGGCTCCGACAGCGACGTGACCACCGAATCGGGATCGAGCCCTTCCCACAGCCCCGCCGAGGGCCAGGAGGCTGCTCGCGGGCCCGGCGCCCTGGCCCTCCTGCACGGGGGAGGGCCGGTCAAAGGCAAGCTGGCCGCGGAAAAGAGACACAAGTGCCCCTACATCGGCTGTGGCAAAGTGTACGGCAAGTCCTCCCACCTCAAAGCCCACTACCGGGTCCACANTGGGGGCAATATGCTGACTCTCTGTAAACCGCTTAGAGAGGGCTGAAAGCCCTATGAAGCGGTATATAAGTCTACTGCTATTGCTATTGCTTGCTCAGTAGCCACCATTAGTGCTTGCAGTCCACAAAATCCAGCCTGGAGAGTGGGCCCTGATTTCCAAGTGCTGAAAAAGACTGGACTCACTATGCCAGATTGAAGGGACCAGTCAACGCTCCACAACCAGAAAAATAGAAAGTGGAACCTTCAAGCGACCCCCTTCAGCTAAAGATAACAAAATAATAAAATATATGTTTGCTTTTAGGGTACAGGACACATGGCAAGAAGATAACCTTGTTTGGACTGTAACTCACAGGTGGACAGTAGTTGTGCAACAGTTTACTGACCCATTACAATGGCTGTATGGTCCAAGCATAATTGAATCAGGTTTAAATATTGTATTTGGTATTATCTTGGGGGAGAAGAAAGTTGGGGCGGGTGGAATATAAAACAAGGCTTAGACAGAGTGTGAAAAGGTGGGAAGATAATTTTTATTTTCAACATTGATAGGTGTCATGATGTTTTTTTGTTTTGCTGTGCTTATATTCTAAGACATATGGTAGGCTGGCTCTTCTCTGTAAGCCTACTACGCATGTCTTTTGCCTTCCTCCTTTCTCTTTCTGTTTCTGTTTGCCTGCCACGAGGAGGTAAGCTAGGAACTTTACCAGAATGTAGTTATTAGTCAGTAAGTTTGTTTGTTATTTATTTTACAATAAAAATGTGTTTTCTAAGAATCTACCTCGGGTTTATTTTACTTAATCATAGAGTATACTCCAAGTAAAAACCATGATTCACCCCTCATTAAATACAGGGCTGAATTTCCAACCCTCACATGGTAGCAGTCGATGGTTATAGGAGATTACGGTTTGTTCCTTGCTTGTTACTTTAATGATAAGCGTTTAGGCTAATTAGATAGATGATTACTTTAGCAACTGAGGAACGCTGATGTAAATCACTACTAAGAATGCCTAAAAAGAAAAAAACAAGAAAGCATTCTGCAACAACTTTAAATATCTCTGATGAAGAAGTTAAAAGTATTTTACAAAGGCTCCAAGAAGAGGAAGACTGCAAAGAGGCTGCTATTAAAGGCAANGAGTAGATAACGAACCAGAACTCTGGGGGCAGCTCGGTTAAGCTGCCGACGTCAATTGCCAGGATCATATTATCATATGTGGTGGACGTGCAGGGATGCAAAAGGCTATTGGGTTAAAATACAAACATGGTTAGAAAAAATGATACATAAACCCGTAGCGTTTAAGACAGAGATATTTTTATTGGGTATCCTACCAGAGAAATATAGTAAAGAAGGTTCATATTTGATTGTACAAATAATAACAGCAGCCAGCCAGAATTGTATTTGCACAAAACTGGAAAGCAGACAAAATCCCATTGGAATGGGAGGTAATAAAGAAGATACTAGATTGTGCAGAAATGTACAGGTTGACATTGAGAATAAAGTACAAAGAGGAGTCAGTGTACTACAGGACATGGGGGCGATTTTACGCTTGGCTTGAAAAAAGATATAAATAGAAACAGAAAGGAACAAAACATGAAATAAATAACTCAGATGACACAATATTAAATTAGGGGGAAGGGGAAATAAAATATTAAAATGTAAATATAAAAGTGGAAAAATGACCTAAGTGGAGCTAATATTAGAAATAAAATGTAAACAGAGAAAATTATTGGTATGAAAAGATAAAGTTGGGATTGCTGAAACGCCACCCTGAGAACCCATCAGAAAGTAAATAAGCAAGGGCAACAATGGAAAGAAGGGGGGATGAGGAGGGAAAAGAAGAAAGGGTAAAGCAAAGAAAGTAAGGGTGGGGAATTAAGAAAGAAAGAGGAGGAGAGGAGAAAGAGAGGGGAAGAAGAAAGAAGGAAGGAGAGGAGGAAGGAAGAAGGTAGAGAAGGGAGGTTGAGAAGGTGGAAGAAGTAAGGTTGTTGCAAAATAAGATGGAGGCACGGGGTGGCAAGAAAATGACCCAAACTGTATCTTATATACAATATGTGTGTAAAAATGAGTATAGAGACTATGATGAATAGATAAATGTTAAATAGCAATTATAAGAATGTATATCTATGAATGATTTTGAAAGGGAAAAATTAAAAAAAAAATTAAATCCTATTCTAATACCAGGGGTGGGTTTCAAAACTTTTTACTACCTATTTTGTGAGCGTGGCCTATTTTGTGGGCGTGACTTGGAGGTCATGTGACTGGGTGGGCATGGCCAACTTGATGTNTCTTGCTTTGCATGTAATGAGTCTATCTCATATATTAGTTTCACCTTTTAAGTTGCATTACTGAAATAAATGAACTTTTGCACGATATTCTAATTTTTCGAGTTTCACCTGTACAATTGAAAATGGTGATGCACAAATGCTTGTAACCAAACGACATGCTATATGTAATTAATGAGGGTTTTATGTTTCATGTCTTGTTTGTTTTTGTTTGTTTTTGTTTGTTTAAAAATAAAAAAACTTTAAAAAAAAAGAAATGGCTAGATTATACTATTATGTAAAAGTATGAGGTTTGATGTTAATGCCTTATTCTACTGCACCAAAGGGAGTTGGAAGTCAAAGTCTTTTTTTTCTTTTTTCCCCTTGTTTCTGCCCCCCCCCCTTTTTTCTCTTCCCAACCTTCCCCAATTTCTCTACTATTTACTATTTATTGTTTAAGCCAGAACTGCATAGACAAAAAAGGTTGGGGGGCTGCAGGCCATGAAGCTAAATCTAGCAAATTTAAGAAGTTGGCTGGAGATGATTTCAGTTCTGCAGTCACTGCAGATCTGGAAACTGTACACAGGCAAAGAGAGAAAGAAAGAGAAAGAGAAGAAGGAGTGCCACCTTGAATATCCCATACAGAGCTATACGTTGCAAATCAGATTTTGAGCCGAAAGCAGGATGAACCATTACTGCGTCCTGCCCCCACCATTTCCCCATTCATTGGTACCTGTGATTGGAGGCTTCTTATACTGAGCACTTTTGAGATGCTCCTCCACCAACTTGGGAGTGACACAGATGACGTGCTGCCCCTTCCAATAATTGACCATGTTCAGGGACTGCAAGGTGCTGATGATGTTGTTCTGCATGATGCTCGTCATCTGGCTGTGCCAAGGGAAACAACAACATGGGCCTCAGCCAAACAAGAACAAGTGGAGGCCAGGAGTCCTTTTAAATAGGCCTCATTACGTTCAATCAAGGCTGTTCCACAGTCAAATGATAGAGAAAGGCACACGGTCTTCCCTCAACACCCACATCACTTGCTAAAGGTGAATTACGACCAGAATTTCCATTGCTAAGCAAGGGAGTAGTTAAGCGAGTTGTGCCCAATTTTGTGACTTTTACCATGGTTAACTGAATTGCTGTGGTTGTTAAGTGAATCAAGTGGTCATTAAGTGAATCTGGCTTCCCCCCACTGACTTTGGTGGAAGCTGACAAATATTGGCTCCCAATTTTTGATCACATAAGCGCAGGACTCTGCAACCCTCATAAAAACATGCCAGTTTCCAAGCACCTGGATTTTGATCATATGACTGCGGGGAGGCTGTGATGGTCGTAAGTGCAAGGACCCACTGTAAGTCACTTTTTCAGTGCCATTGTAATGTGGTCACTAAATAAATGGCAATAGCATTTAAGACGTATATACAGCTTCACAGTGCTTTACAGCCTCTCTAAGCAGTTTACAGAGTCAGCATATTGCCCCCAACAATCTAGGTCCTCATTTTACCAAGCTAAGAACGATGGAATGCTGAGTCAACCTCGAGCCCCTTCAGGATTGAACTCCAGGCTGAAGGCAGAGTTAGCCTGCAATACAGATAGTCATCAACTTACAACAGTTCATTTAGTGACCAAAGTTACAACGGCACTGAAAAAAGTGACTTATGACCATTTTTCACACTTATGACCTTTCCCATGGGAAGCATCCCTGCGGTCACGTGATTTACATTCAGAGGCTTGGCAAATGACTCACATTTATGATGGTTGCAGTGTCCCGGGGTCATGTGGTCTCCTTTTGCGAACTTCTGACAAGCAGAGTCAATGGGGAAGTCAGATTCGCTGAACCACTGTGTGAGTAATTTAAGAACTGCAGTGATTCACTTCACAAAGAAGGTGAGAAAAGTCGTAAAATGGAGCAAACACACTTAACACATTTCTCACTTAACAACATATGGGCTCAATGATGGTCGTAAGTTGAGGTCTACCTCTATTGCATTCTAACCACTGGGCCACCAGGGCTCTTTTTTACATTTTACAAATAGTTGTAAATTGAGGACTGTCAGGTCCTAGGTATTTCCATAGGTTTGCCATCACAGAGATATACTCTCCTTGAAACAGTGAATCAGTCATTTGCAAACCATTTAGCCGGTGGTCCGCAAAGCCTTGAATGAAGCCAAGGCTGCCTATAAAGCACAAGAACCTAAACCTTATAAAGTGGTGGACAAAGTTTACCTATCCATCAAGTTTCTAAAATCTTTGCAGCAGTCTAAAAAGTTGGGTCCTAAATATATTGGGCCTTTCCGCATAGTTCATATTATTAACTTTGTCATGGTGGAATTACAACTCCCTAAGTCATTATGTCCACCCCATTTTTCATTGTAGCTTATTGAAGCCTGAAGTCACCTCTGATCTTCGTCCGACTACTACCTCTGTTCCATCCCCTATTATGGTAGAGGGTGAACAACATTTTGAGGTTCAGGAAATTCTTGACTCTAAGAAATTCCACGGGACCACTCAGTACCTTATGGCTTGGAAACACCTCTCCTTCTCACACAATGAATGGGTTCACAAAACACATGTGCATGCCCCTAAATTAATAGGTATATTTCATCAATTGTACCATGACAAACCTTGTTGATTTTATGTTTCCTTTGTCTCCCCTTTCCTCTTTTGTTTTCTTTCAGGTGGACTTCCCGTTTTTCTAGGGGGGCAGCATGTCAGGTCCTAGATATTTATACAGGGA